GTGCTGGCAGTGCGATAGCGAGTCTCTAGGGCACGCAAATGAGTGGCAAAATCTGCGACAGTAGGGAAGGCAGCCAGGTCTGGGAACAGCATCGGAAAGAGCAAGCGGCCAGCAGAAGCGGAGGCAGGGGTGGAATAGCGAGCAATAACGGCGTCTAAATAAGTTTTGGCCGTTTCAACAGTAGCAAAACGCGAGCGCTCAGACACAGGGAGGGCGTGACTAATAGCAACCTGAGCTACTGCATCGCGTGAGTCCCAGACCGCACAGGCTAGCGCAGTAGTAGAGAAAGCCTCACGGTCATCAGAGGAGGGGTCAGCAGGGAGGGGAGTAGGTGCAGGGGGACGGGGGAGCAAGCCATCAGCATGGACAACCAGAGAGTGGCCATCCTGGCGCTGACCTGTAAGCTGGCGGCGAAGATCGGAGAGCCAGGCGGCGAAGTCAACCGCGTGGCCCTCAGCGTCCAGGCGGAGCACAAAGTCAGCCATCGTGCAGGGTCAGCGGCACAGCTCCTCAGCGACACAGCGGCACAGCAGCACAGCTCCTCAGCGGCACAGGAGCACAGCGGCGCGGGGACACGGCGGCAGCACTCTCCAGTAGGGCAGCAGCTAGGCGTCCCAGCGCAGGCAAGCAGAAGACACAGGGCCCGAGAGGACACGGCAGGCCGAGCAGGGGAGGCGGGCAGGTGCTCTAGGGCCGGGCTGGTGCTGGGAGGGGCCAGGCTGGTGCTGCTGGGGCCGGTCGGGCACGAGGAGGGGCCGGGCAGCGCTGAGGAGAGGCCGGGCGGCGCTAGGAAGGGGCCGGGCGGCACTAGGAGGAGGCCGGGCGGCACTAGGAGGAGGCCGGGCGGCACTAGGAGGAGGCCGAGCGGCACTAGGAGGAGGCCAGGCGGGCGAGCGCTAACAGCAGGCGCGACAGGGGCCAGCGGGCGCGACGGGGCCTAAGGGGCGCGACGGGGCCCAGCGGGCACGACGGGGCCCAGGGGGGGCGCGACGGGGCCGCGGAGGCGCGACGGGGACCAGCGGGCACGACGGGGCCCAGGGGGGCCGCGACGGGGCCTAACGGGCGCGACGGGGCCCAGGGGGTGCGCGACGGGGCCTAGCAGGCGCGACGGGGCCTAGGAAGCGCGAAGGGGCCCAGCGGGCGCGACGGGGCCTAGGAGGGGCGCGACGGGACCGAACGGGCGCGACGGGGCCCAGAGAGGGGGGACGCGACGGGGCTTAGGAGGCGCGACGATGCCTAGGAGGCACGACGGGGCTCAGCGGGCTCGACGGGGCCCATGGGGGGCGCGACGGGGCCTAGGAGGCGCAACGGGGCCCAGCGGGGGCGCGTTAGGGCCTAGGGGTCGCGACGGGACCCAGTGGGCGCGACGGGGCCCAGGGGGAGCGCGACGGGGCCTAGGAGGCGCGACGGGGCCCAGCGGGCACGACGGGGCCCAGGGGGGGCGCGACGGGGCCTAACGAGCGCGACGGGGCCCAGGGGGGGCGCGACGGGGCCTAGGGGGCGCGACGGGGCATAGGAGGCGCGACGGGCGGAAGCGGTAGGCGGGGGGATCCTAACCTAAGCGTGATACCATGTGAACGTAGAAACGAATGATTACTAGAGGTGGAAACCTAGAACAAATACTAGTTGGTTGTACTCACTAGAAGCATACCTCAGTCTAGCCTATAACTTCTACATAGATAATATGTATAAGTTGACATCGACGAGGCAAGGGAAAAGAAAGATAAAACAAACAGTACAGAATCTACAGTAGTTCTAACACTTATGAGCAGAAATTAGAAAGTTCCCAGCTCTCTTCCGCAGCCTCCAAGCGAGAATGGTTCTTCTTGAAGTGAAAGTTCCGTGTTGTTGGAAATACCTGAAGACTTAAGCGTTTCTGAAGTGTAACACTGCACTTCAGGAAAGTCGTATCGAGTACGCGAGTCAACAGAGGTTACACGAGGAGGTTGGATGAAAGAACACGAAAGGACGAAGGGACTCAAAGGGTTGCAACCGGAGGTTGCGACTGGCCGTTACAACTGCAAGGGTGGTAACCGAACCGACAATCGAGTCGCTGTGCGACCCGATAACCGTTCCTTCAACTGTATTCTACAACTGCTTCATCTCTTATTTTCTATATATTGCTGTATGCTTGTTTCTTTTAATCAATCACTTGCTCTCACATACTAGTGCAAGGGTTCAACTACTCAACTCTTCCGCTGCACTACTCAAGCATTTCATACAAGTGGGACTTAGTCTCTGAAAAGATCCTAGGGCTTTTCTCAGCCCAATATGGTATGAGAGCTGGTCAGAGACCAACACTTCCATCAACGACATTCTATCTACAGTCAGCACATCAGAACTTCATCAATTACAAGTCATGGACAACAAAGGCAAGAATTCTTCTACGGGCTCACCCAACGGCCAAGACACTCAACCCGGCATTTCTGGACTACACACTTCAGGACTACAATCTGAGACCGGCGCTGCTTAAGAAACAAGAGGAAGGGTACCAGAAATGGTGACCCCTTCACCCTCTTCATGCGTGGACCCAAACCTTATGGAAAGGTTCTTCAGTTTCATGTCACACTTTGACCAGCAGCAGACAAGGACACCTATGCATTCAACACAGAGCAACGGGGGAAATATGGGATTAGCACCAATGAGCCTCGACAACTCATCATTTGGGCGGCAAAATCAAGCACCTACCTTTGCGCCTTATCACTCATCACCGGGGACATTCGAGTTCATGCCGCCCCGTGCTCAAACGACAGCAGCTGCATCACAGCAGACCCCAAACGAGATATTGAGTCTCCAGGCGCAGTTTTCACATGTCATCAAACTGCAGACATCCTCATTGTTCAACGGGCACGAATTCTTTACCTGGAGCTTTGAGTTCGAGCTGTTGATGGAGGCCGCGCACCTCTTGGGATACTTCAACGGGTCCCTGCCATTTCCAAGTAATGGCACTGCAAAGGAGCAGGAAATCTTCACTTATCAGTCGCTGTTGGCGTACACAATTCTCCTGCAAAATCTGTCACCACAAGAGCAACAGAGCATCAGAACGTATCGGAGCTACGGAAACTCCGCGGAGCTCGCTTGGCATCATCTGAAGTGCCTCTATCAAGCAAACGACAGCGTGACATAAAGCAGACTCATGCAGCAGTTGATGACAATACAAATGAAGACCGGGGAAAAGGCGATGCAGTATATGAGTCGCTGCCAGACACTCCGCGACCGCCTGATTCGGTGCGGAGGCACAATCACTGAAGAAAGTTTCGTGACACTTGTTCTCGCCGGGCTCGGACCACAATGGAGAACCTCTCGCTCGCTTCTTCGCGCCCACGGACGATTTTCCGAGATGCACCTCTGCGCCGAGCTCCATGATGAACAACAGGAGATGGACCTGTTTGAAGAAAGACAACCACGAAGCAATCAGCAACCGTTAGCCTTCTACACTCACGGAAGAAACGACAACTGCAACCGACGCGACAAGCAAAATCGATATGACACCAGAGGTCTCACCATCGTGCCGCCATTCTGCCACAACTGTCAGACATCCGGGCACTCCAAGGTCGACTGCACACGCCCTCGAGTTTATCGCCCAGCAGACCCGCAAGTCGCCTCCACTCAAGAGAATCCGCCAAGCCGCTCCTCTACACCTGCACAAGGCGCACCGAACATTATTAACTGCATGATGCACATCGACAACTGCACACCCAGATCACCACCCACTTACGCTCCAAACGAAGACGAACTGCCACCACCGCGCTCACAAGGTCTTCAAGTCAACCCCACGTATGCTGTAGTCGCCAACGTCGAACCCACCGGACGAAACACCTGGTTCTTGGACAGTTGCTGCGGCCAACACATGTGTTCCTCGAGGCGCTTCGTGCAACAAGAGCGAAGTCTCAACCGCGATGTCATCATCACCGTCGCCAACAACGAAAACCTGAAGACAAACAGACAAGGAGTTGTTCGACTTCAGTCAATGGAAACAAACGTCATACTGCAACTCAACAAGGTTCTCATTGTCGACAACTTGGGATACAATCTGCTAAGCGTGAGCCAGTTAATGGCGAAAGGAATTCACTTGGAGTGTGACTCGGACGCCAACGATTTTCGACTTTACCACGGCAAGGGCGGCCTCTTCATCGGTCGCGCTCTCCTGAAGGCAGGCGTCTTCGTGCTGGACTTCGTCCCCAACCGCGGAACTGCCAACAACGATGGCATCATGTCGTTCGTTGCTTGGACGCACACGCCGGACCTTGACCCTGACTTCACTCCAGACGGCTTTTGGTACTCCAACACCATCCTTGCAGCAGAAAGAACATGGGCATTAGCAGTCATTCGTCAAGAACGACAAGTACCAGCAAGTACACCTTCCTCGACATCACCTGTGGTAACAACAGCAGGACCCAGCCGTGTTGTGTGATGTCATCATATGTTATCACATTCTGTCTGCCTCCCATCCCTTGTTTCAATTCGCACGTATGGTTTGACTGTGTGTGAAAGAATTTGTGTGGTGTGTGTTCTGGAGTTTGGGAATGTGTTTTGTGTTATTCTGTCTGAGCAGGTATTTGTGATGATAGATCTTGAGAAGATCTTTCCGACGCAACAAGAATCGCGTCAATCGGAGCAAGAACGCGAAAGCTATGAAGATTCAAAGTTCATGAGCTTGCGTTACAATTGCGGCGGTTACAAAGTGAAGTTGTGGGGTGACTTTATATGGAGTTGGGACCTTTGGGGTTGGGGAAATTCGTCACTCTACTGTAACAGCTGCAAATTGGTTGGGAACAACCAAGCTAGGTTGGCAAGGGTGGCCAACTTGGATGGATTGGTTGGGAAGGGACAAATGTCAAAGTTGGGGTTCCTATAGGGAGGGAATCTTTGTGCTTATGGGGTTTCCTTGGTTGGGGACTCTCTTGGGACCTTCCCTCTCATCCCTCTCTTCTATCCCAACCTTTCTCTTGCTCCTCTAATTCCTTGTGAGATTCTTGAACTTTGATTGAACCTTTGAGATTGAGTTAAGTTCTCCTCCTACAGCTTACCCCCTAGTGCGTCGAAAGCCATAGCGTCGCGAATACTTTATCAATCAACATGATTCAAATTGGGAACGGTAGCTGAGATTAAGAGCTACAACATATCCAAGTTTCGCGATATTCCAACGGCTAGTTTTTCGTCGACGTCGTTTCTTGTGAAGACGACTTTTCTGTCCAGAATTTCGGATTTATATTTTGAGTAATTCTAGCTCCTAAGTTCACCTAGACTCCGTCCTTAATCCTAACAAGTGGTATCAGAGCTGTATTAAGGACGTTGAGAGGAGTCTACAGAAGTGTGAAGACCCTTCTAGACCCACCATGGCCTGTGGGTGTGCCTAAGTGGTGTTCTAAAGGTTGGATGTGTCTTCCACTAAGGGGAAACTCTGCCGAAATTTCGTGGACGCCGACACTTGTGAAAATATCGAGGGAGCTGAGTGTGGACAGCAAAGGGGAGCTGAAATTCGTCATTTCTCAAGGAGAAGATGAATGAGAGAGGAGGAGATGCTAATGGAAGAGGAGCTGTAGCTGAGAAGGCAAGTGAGCCGCCGCCATCAAAAGTTGAAGCTTTGGATGGCTCCAACTATGAGGAATGGAGCGGACGGATGAGGAGTGCCTTCAAACGCTACAAGCTACTGAAGATTGCTGTTGGGGAAGAGAAGATGCCGGAAGAAGGCGAAGCACGTGAACGGTGGATTGAGAAAAGCGCGGTGCTTTTCGACCTCATCCTTCAATCGGTCAACAAGGAGATGTTCGAGCACATCAAGGATCTTGTGGAAGCGGATGATTCGGGTCCAAGGGCGTGGAAACTACTACGCGATGTGATTCAGCCCAACACTCTCCCGATGGTGATCGTGCTCGAGAAGGAACTTGCTGCCATCTCCATGCGACCACGGGACGATGTGAAGCCAGCCCTTGACAAGATCAAGGACACCTATGCAAGGATGGCAGCAGCGGGCAGCAGTGTATCTCAGCTGCAGCAGTGCACCAAGATCATCTCGGTGTTGGACAACTCTTGGGACAACCTCATCCCCACCCTCAACTCTCAGCAAGATCAATGGACACCTGAGTGGCTAAGGCAGCAGATTCTGCAGGAGGACTTCCGCAGACGCCATGTGGGAGGCGGTGCTGCCACTAAGACTGCTGAGGGGTATGGAGCTGCAGGGCGCGGCAGAGGAAGAGGGGGTTGGAGAGGCCGAGGCCGTGGGAGGAGCTTTGGCAGAGGTAGAGGCCGAGGTGACTATAATGAGGGGCATGGGAGCTCCAGTGGCAGGGGGAGTACCAGAATGGAGGGCACCTGCTGGTACTGCAAGAAGGTCGGGCATCCTTGGTTCAAGTGCTTCAGCAGGCCGGAGGGATGGGCACCTCCAGGCATGAAGCCGCCAAGTGGTGAACGCGCACAAGGTGGCGCTGTGCAAGATGAAGGTGCACAAGGTAACGCCTATCCTGGGATGTATCTCATGGTTGAGGATGTGCATGGGCATGAGGGTGATGTGGGATCTGTGGGAAAGGTTGTGATGCACCCTCTCACGCACTGGGTGATTGATTCGGGTTGCACCAGTCACATGACCCCACGGGCAGATTTGCTTGATGAGGTAAAACCCCCTGGGAAGATCAAGTATGTGGCAGCAGCGTCAGGTGCTTTGCTCCCTGTCATTGGTGTTGGAAATGCCAAGGTTAAGGGAGCTAATGGGGAGCTTGTGGGGCTTGGAATGATGGGGTCCTGGAAGCAGTCAAGAAAGTGCAGAAGCAGCAGACACATGGTGAGGTGCTTGCTGGTGTGGATGCGAGTGCGGCATGGGCTAAGGCTTCATCAAGGAGTGGAGAGGCCGATTGGGAGACATGGCATGAGAGGTTGTGTCATGTGAACTTCCCTATGCTGCAGAAGTTGGTGAAGAATGGGAGCCTGAAGGGCTTGGAGGTGAAAGGGGAAGTGAAGGAGATTGGGAGCTGCCCTACATGCTTGGAGACCAAGTTCTCCAAGTTCCCCTTCAACAGTGCAACAGGACCAGCCAAGACCCCACTTGCACTTGTGCACATGGATGTGGTGGGGCCCACAAGAGCCCTTTCCCTCTCAGGCAGCCGCTATTTCTTGACAATTGTGGATGACCACACTCGTGCAGTGTGGGTTTACCCTTTGAAGAGCAAGGGGGAGGTGGCAGCGGCTGTCCTTAAGGAGTGGATGCCTAGAGCTCAGAGGGAATGCGGACACAAGGTGAAGGTGATCCGCAGTGACAATGGTGGGGAGTTCATTGGAGCTGATTTTGAGGGGGAGTTGAAGAGGAAGGGGATCCAGCATCAACTGACAGTGCCCTACAATCCGCAGCAGAATGGCGTGGCTGAGAGGTTCAACAGGACCCTGCAGGAGGGGGCACGCACTCTCCTTGGGCGTGCAGGGCTACCTGATCCGTTTTGGGTGTCTGCACTGAGGCAGGTCGCCCTTGTGAAGAACAGGGTGCTGGCTACAGTTGGAGATAAGGAGTGGATCCCATATATCAAGTGGTATGGGAGTGCTCCAGCTGTGAACATGCTGAGGGCATTTGGGTGCATGGTAGTGTTTCATGTGCCTAAGGAGAAAAGAGGGAAGTTGGAGGCTTCTGGAAGATGGGGTGTGCACTTGGGGATTGCAAAGGATCACAAGGGATGGCTGCTATGGGACTTGACCACCCAGAAGCTGACAGTGTCAAGGGATGTGAAGTTTCTTGAGTCCCTGTACTACAAGGAATGGAAGCAGCAGCAACAGAAGCTTCCATCTACACCGCTCATTGTGGAGGCAGATGAGGTGCAGCAGCCTTCAAGACAGGTGGAGGTTGCAGTGTCAGAGGAGGAGATGTCTGGGGTGACTGAGGAAGGGGGAGCAGCTGAAGTAGTGGAGCAGCAACAGCAACATGAGTCTCCACCTCGAGTTCCACACCCGCCTGAGCGACCTAGGAGGGATGTGCGCCCTCCTGTGAGGCTGACCTATGGGGGAAGAGGCAAGCCAAATGTGGTGCAGGCTGGGAGTGTGGTTGAGCAGATTGAGGAAGATGAGATCGCTCACTGCTACTGGGCACCAATCCCTGAGCCCAAGACTCGAGAGGAGGCCTTGAATGGACCAAATGGGGAGAAGTGGAAGGCGAGTGAGGATGAGGAGTTCGGGTCCCTAATTGAGAACGAGACATGGGACCTGTGTGACTTGCCTCCTGGGAAGAAGGCAATCACTTCCAAGATGATCTACAGGCACAAGTATGGACCTGAAGGGGAGCTGACCCGCTACAAGTCTAGGCTTGTGGCACGGGGGTTTCAGCAGACAAAGGGGAAGGACTATGATGAGGTATTTGCTCCTGTGGGGAAAGGAACAACACTGAGGGTGCTGTTGGCGATAGCTGCACTCCTGGGATGGAAGATACGGCAGATGGACATTGTGACTGCCTTTCTGAATGGGATCATTCTGGAGGAGGTGTACATGAAGCAGCCAGAGGGGCTGGATGATGGGAGCGGCAGGGTCTGCAGGCTGAAGAAGGCAATCTATGGCCTTAAGCAGGCGCCTCGTGCATGGTATCACAAGTTGGAGGAGGCGCTGGTGGCTGGGGGTTTCAAGAAGAGTGAGTGTGACCCCAGCCTGTTCCTGCTGCAGGAGAAGGACGAAATCCTCATGCTCTTGGTGTATATGGATGATATCCTTCTCTTTTCTGCATCCACTGCTTTGCTGGACAGCGCAGAGCAGATGCTGGAGATGCAGTTCAAGTGCTCCAAGATGGGTGAGGTGAAGTACTACTTGGGGATGCATGTGGAGAGAGATGTGGAGAAGGGTGTGCTGAGGTTGCACCAGAGGAAGTACTGTGAGGGGCTGGCTGAGAAGTATGGGCTGCAAGATGGGGGAAAGCCAGCAACACCACTACCTTCAGGGTTTACTGTGGAGCCATGTGCTGATGAGGAGGTAGTGGGTGAGAGTGACAGGAAGCTGTTTCATTCGATGGTTGGGTCGCTGAATTATGCTGCAAATCATACACGGCCTGACATTGCATTTTCTACATCACGGTTGGCTAGTGTGGTCTCACGCCCTAGTCATGAGCAGCTGGAAGCGGCCAAGAGGTTGGTCCGCTATGTGAGTGCTACGGCATCAGTGGGATTGGAGTACAGTGGAGTGAGGCAGCGGTTGCAGAGAGGTGCTGCAGATGTGAAGAGTGGAAAGATGCTCTTGAGTTGCTATACTGACGCTAGCTTCAACTCAGTGAAAGCGGATGGCACCAGCATTGGGGGTTATGTGTGCTTGCTAGGAGGTGGTGCTGTGAGCTGGCGCAGCAAGAAGCAGAATGAGGTGGGATTGTCCTCATGTGAGACTGAGTACATGGCCTTACACCATGGGGCCAAGGAAGTAGTGTGGCTAAGGCGTTTGTTGGAGGAGTTGGGAGTTGGTCAGGAGGAGCCGACAGTTGTGTTCTGTGACAATGAGTCTGCTGTGAAGCTCGCCAAGAATGCTTGTCTGCATGGGCTGACAAAACACATAAGGCCTAAGTGGCACTGGGTGAGGAGACTCCTTGATAAGGAGGTGCGGCTGGAGATAGTGAAGACCCATCAGCAGGCAGCAGATATTTTCACCAAGCGTCTGGCGGAGGCGGATCATTGGAAGGGCATGAAGCTTGCTGGGATGAGTGTGCATTGAGTATGCATGCTTGAGATGTTGGTATGGTGGTTGATGGTTGGCAGCCAGAGGGGGAGATTGTTGTGTGATGTCATCATATGTTATCACATTCTGTCTGCCTCCCATCCCTTGTTTCAATTCGCACGTATGGTTTGACTGTGTGTGAAAGAATTTGTGTGGTGTGTGTTCTGGAGTTTGGGAATGTGTTTTGTGTTATTCTGTCTGAGCAGGTATTTGTGATGATAGATCTTGAGAAGATCTTTCCGACGCAACAAGAATCGCGTCAATCGGAGCAAGAACGCGAAAGCTATGAAGATTCAAAGTTCATGAGCTTGCGTTACAATTGCGGCGGTTACAAAGTGAAGTTGTGGGGTGACTTTATATGGAGTTGGGACCTTTGGGGTTGGGGAAATTCGTCACTCTACTGTAACAGCTGCAAATTGGTTGGGAACAACCAAGCTAGGTTGGCAAGGGTGGCCAACTTGGATGGATTGGTTGGGAAGGGACAAATGTCAAAGTTGGGGTTCCTATAGGGAGGGAATCTTTGTGCTTATGGGGTTTCCTTGGTTGGGGACTCTCTTGGGACCTTCCCTCTCATCCCTCTCTTCTATCCCAACCTTTCTCTTGCTCCTCTAATTCCTTGTGAGATTCTTGAACTTTGATTGAACCTTTGAGATTGAGTTAAGTTCTCCTCCTACAGCTTACCCCCTAGTGCGTCGAAAGCCATAGCGTCGCGAATACTTTATCAATCAACATGATTCAAATTGGGAACGGTAGCTGAGATTAAGAGCTACAACATATCCAAGTTTCGCGATATTCCAACGGCTAGTTTTTCGTCGACGTCGTTTCTTGTGAAGACGACTTTTCTGTCCAGAATTTCGGATTTATATTTTGAGTAATTCTAGCTCCTAAGTTCACCTAGACTCCGTCCTTAATCCTAACAAGCCGCGCGCCACCACCAGCAATCCGAGGACCGCCATCCGAAGCAGATCAACTCATCCCATCACTCGAGAAGTCTGCCGCAGTTCCGCCACGGTCGTCGCGCTCTTCTCCAACGCCGACGTGTACCAGCGCTCACCTGGCCATCGCGCTCCCAATGACATCTGGCATCAACGCCTTGGACACCCTGCAAACAGTACAGTACTACAGACCATACAAGCCAGAGTATTAGAAAAAGACGCTCTTCTCACAACGAGCGGCCAGGAGCTTCGACAACCCCGCGCACGATGCATCACGTGTCCTGAAGCATATCTTCCCCACCAACCCTTCCTGTCGCACCACAATCAAAGCGCACCTGCATACGCACCGATGGAAAAAGTTTACAGCGACATTTTAAATATGCCTCGAGACGACAGTGAAGCAGAGTACAACTATGTCATCACGTTCATCGACGCAGCAACGCGATACGTCTGGCACTACACCCTCAAGACACGTGATCAAGCGTTCGAAGCCTTCACGACTTGGCTCCCCATTGCTGAACGAGAATCGGGCTCCCAACTCAAGAGCTTCCAGACAGACGGGGCACTGGAGTACCAGACACAAAGGTTCAAGAGCTATCTGGCAGAAAGAGGCATCAGACGCCGGGTGTCTCTGCCCTACACTCACCAGCAGCAAGGGGTCGCAGAGAGGATGAACCGGACTTTGCAGATGACGATACGAAAGCTGCTCCTGGGGATGAGACTGCCCAACACACTGTGGCCTGACGCAATGGCGCATGCAATCCACCTCCACAACTTGCTGTCCTCGTCATCACTTCCCAACAGCGCATCACTGCACTTGCTGTGGACAGGAAAACAGGGCAGCACAAAATTACATCAAGTTTTTGGCTGCATGGTACAATACAGACCCCACACATCTCAAGCAGGACGATTCTCTCAACGAGCACGGTGCGGAATACACCTCGGCATCGCAAAACATTTCCAAGCATGGAAACTTATCAACACTCAGAACAAAACCACCGTGGCCTCTCGTGATGTGATTTTCTATGAGAGACTGACGCTGCAACATTACCTGGACAACATTGCCAACACAACCGACCCCACCGACGGCTTTGAAGGCCATCGGTCCTTCGCCGACCGTGCTGCCGAAGCCGATGCAGCAGAAGAAGATGTACCTGAAGCCTCGGAAGCTGCCGGACCACTACCATACTGCTCCGTGCCTGTTCCACTCGACGACGACAATCCTCTCGATAGTAACAACCTCGACACTTATTACCACTTCGCTGACCAAGGTTACACTACACCTCAACCAGTCGACACAAATATCTCCGAACGCATCGGACCCAATTTCTTACCTGACCCCGAGGACGGTGACGAAGCAGCTTATCCCGAGAATGACAATTCCCCACGACACCCATCCACGGGCCTGCAGATACTTGGACTATGGGTCGCCGTCTAGAGCCCGCCTGTCACAGGATTGAATGTCTCGAGGAAAGGTTGCACTATCGATCAGTACAAGGCGCTTTTATACTTCCAAAGTACATCAGGTAACCAGGTTTATCTTATCCTAAGGGAATAGACCCTTCTAGAAGAGAGAATCACCCTGCGTATAGCCACGCGAGGCTATTGGCTTTAAGGGATTACGGCAGGATTACGCCAGATAGCGCACCAGTACATCCCAAGCCTGGTCGGTGATATAATTATAATAGCAGGATAAACCAAAGGTTAATGGAAAATGGAGAATAGGAAACCAAATGAGATGAGATAAAGAGAAATGAACGAGGAAGGAAATAAGAAAAGGGACAAGTGGTGTAACGGGGTCGTACTCTCACACCGCCGCCGCCGTCACCGCGTGAGCCAACGACTCTATCGCAGGCTCTTGGGGGGGAACACAAGGCGAAATGGAAGGAAGCAATGGAAAAGGAACTGAAGGCCTTGCAAGACCGAAATACGTGGAAGCTGGTACCTGCAACAAAACCCAACAGGAAGAAGGTGCTCTCGGGGAAATGGGTGTACCGCATCAAAACTAATGCAGATGGCTCCATCGATCGCTTCAAAGCTCACTGGGTCGTACGAGGATTCGACCAGCGATACGGAACCGACTATACAGAGACATTCGCCCCAGTCTCCCGACATACCTCCCTGCGCATTCTGCTCGCCGTCGCGGCCACGAAAAAACTACCACTTCGCCAGATCGATGTCGCCAACGCCTTCCTGTACGCACCTGTGGACGCCGAAATTTTCGTCGAGCAGCCCGACGGATTCATCGACGATCCCACAAAAGTGTGCCAGCTGGTAAAATCCCTCTACGGAATCAAACAAGCCCCGCGGCTCTGGCAGCAGCACCTTCACGGCCGCCTAGTCAGGATCGGCTTCCTGCAGCTACCGCACGATCAAGGGATGTACTGACCATGGAAGGAGGGGGATTTCGTCCTACTCATCGTCTACGTCGATGACCTGCTCTACGTCGGCTCCACTACCGACGTCGTCACCTGGTTCGAAGGGGAGCTGAGGAGTGACTTACAGTGACGGAAAAAACTGTCCGGATGTTTGGCTCTAATTAGGGTTTTTTGGCTTTTCGACCACGGTACATAAAGTCTTAATGTTTTTATTGTGGTACGCTTTGGGAGGGGCACATAGTCGATGTGTTCAAAGCGCTAAAATCCATAGTAGTACACTGGATCTAACTTTGTGCCAAAAGTTATACAAGGGGGTCATCCGGACAGTTTTTTCCCGAGACAAAGACCAAACTTCCGAACAGGGTTTCTAGTACCTAGTACACCGACCCTTGGCCTTAATCACCACCCGCAGCCTCCTAGGCATGTTATTTACGCGGCTAGTGCAAACCTTTGTTGAGATCTTCTTGCACTCTTCTTGGACCCACCCTTTTGCAAAAGGGGGTGAGCACTTGGAAAAACGCGAAGGATTTGAGCGTCTGCAAGTTTTGTGTGTACGATATCTGTTTGAATGTTATGTATGAGACTAGCCACACTGAGGTATGACCAAAGATGCCATTAGCCGATTGGTTCCATTTTATCATGGGTCGTCTTCGTCGTACCGCTGTAGGGTAAAACCATGAATAGAGCGGCAAAAAATGGTGTATATGCCGTGAAATTGAGGGTAACGTAGCACGGTTGATTATTCATCCTTGCACTATTAGAATCACGCTAGGATCTGCATGTCTCATCATGGTGCAGCAGTCGAAGAGGTTGCGACTGTTCGGGAAGAATATCCGGGTTGAGGTCTGGTGAAGAAAAGGGTCACTCCAGTGCAACATACTCATGCTCCCCAATGCTCTCCAAGCCATTTGTATCGCATAGGCTTGGAATAGCATTGGAGAACATCAGTTTGTAGCACTAGAGTGGCCCTTTTCTTCACCTGACCTCAACCCGGATATTCTTCCCGAATAGTCGCAACTTCTTCGACTGCTGCACCGTGATGAGACATGCAGATCCTAGCGTGATTCTAATTGTGCAAGGATGAATAATCAACCGTGCTACGTTACCCTCAATTTCACGGCATATACACTATTTTTTGCCGCTCTATTTGTGGTTTTACCCTACAGCGGTACGACGAAGACGACCCATGATAAAATGGAACCAATCGGCTAATGGCATCTTTGGTTATACCTCAGTGTGGCTAGTCTCATACATAACATTCAAACAGATATCGTACACAAAAAACTTGCAGACGCCCAAATCCTTCGCGTTTTTCCAAGTGCTCACCCTCTTATGCAAAAGGGTGGGTCCAAGAAGAGTGCAAGAAGATCTCAACAAAGGTTTGCACTAGCCGCGTAAATAACATGCCTAGGAGGCTGCGGGTGGTGATTAAGGCCAAGGGTCGGTGTACTAGGTACTAGGAACCTGTTCGGAAGTTAACGCTTTGTCCTGGGAAAAAACTGTCCGGATGACCCCCTTGTATAACTTTTGGCACAAAGCTAGATCCAGTGTACTACTATGGACTTAAGTGATGTGAATACATCCACTATGTGCCTCTCCAAAAGCGTACCACCATTAAACATTAAGACTTTATGTACCGTGGTCGGAAGGCCTAAAAACCCTAATTAGAGCCAAACATCCGGACAATTTTTTCCGTCACTGTAACACTCACGGTGTCAGACACCGTGAGCCAGTACCTAGGTCTGAACGTCGTTGAAGATGACTCGGCGTTCTACCTACATGCCGGAAAGTACGCAGGCGTTGTCGCTAAGAAGTTCGGACTAACGTCGGTCGCACTCGCGACTCCCTATCGCTACGGGAGCAACAGCGACACCTCCGCAAAGCTCCCCGCGAAGCAAATCCAGGAATATCAACAGAAGCTCGGCTGTCTACTGTTCGCAGCAGTAACCTGCCGACCGGACCTGTTCTACAGCGCGAGCCAACTGGCAACACACCTGAAGCAGCCGGAGCAAGAGGATCTCGAGGAGCTAAGTCGGGCACTGCTCTACTTCGTCTCTACGCCGACAACTGGACTTACCTACAGCAAAGCAACGCCATCGTCCGTACAACTACTCGGCTATGTCGACGCCGACCACGAGGGAGATAGGGAGAATCGTTGCTCCAGAACGAGCTACATCTACCGACTAGAGCCTATCGGTACTATTTCCTGGCAATCGAGCAAGCAGGAACTAATCGCGCTATCCTCGGCTGAAGCGGAATACATCGCCCTTTGCTCTGCAACCAAAGCAGGACTTTACCTGCGGGAGCTGCTCGAGGAAGCAAAAATTGCGACCATGCCCGCCTTCTCGTTATTCTGCGACAACCAATCCGCGATCAAAATCGCGAACAAAAACGGGTTCGCCAATCGAACCAAGCACATCGCTCTGCGGTATTTCTTCGTCAAGGATGAGATCGCGAAGGGGAGAATTCAACTCAGTTACTGCCCCACGACACAAATGGCTGCAGATTACCTGACGAAGAAACTTGCTAAGACAAAGTTCGATTACTGCATGCTGCTGACCGGGCAGATAAACGTCACCAAATCTGGACACGTCAGCACTCCAGAAACGAAGGGGAGTGTTGGAAATACCTCGAAGACTTAAGCGTTTCTGAAGTGTTACACTGCACTTGAGGAAAGTCGTATCGAGTACGCAAGTCAACAGAGGTTACACGAGGAGGCTGGACGAAAGAACACGAAAGGACGAAGGGACTCAAAGGGTTGCAACCGGAGGTTGCGACTGGCCATTACGACTGCAAGGGTTGTAACCGAACCGACAATCGAGTCGCTGTGCGACCCGATAACCGTTCCTTCAACTGTATTCTACAACTGCTTCATCTCTTATTTTCTATATATTGCTGTATGCTTGTTTCTTTTAATCAATCACTTGCTCTCACATACTAGTGCAAGGGTTCAACTACTCAACTCTTCCGCTGCACTACTCAAGCATTTCATACAAGTGGGACTTAGTCTCTGAAAAGATCCTAGGGCTTTTCTCAGCCCAACACGTGTGTCATTGTAACGAGGTGACTTTTGAGTCGACTCAAAGTTCCCTCCTGCCTCTCTTGCGCACACTCTGCCCATCCCGTTTCCCCCTCAGCACCCAGATGCTGCTGCTGCACCTATCATGCTCTCCATTTCTTCACAGCATTCGCTCGACCACACCATGCTTGTGTGCATACCCATGCGCTTGCTGTGCCCATCCCATTTGTTGTCAGAGCCCACATGTGCCCCCTATTTGGAATTTGTCCTACTTGATGTCGTGGTGCATCATCAAGACACACTTGATGTCGCACTACCCGGACGCGATTCGCCGAGCGGGGCACGTATCCGAGTACTCTACCAACATGTTCGAGCACCTGCATGGCCCTCTCCTTAAAACCACAGGCTAAGAAGGCACACCTTGGGCGCTCTTGAACTCATACTTTTTTGGTGGTCAGAATAAAAGATCCAAACTTGAGCTTTCAACACAAAATGTAACGAAAAAAGTGTGTTGCGACATTTTGAAACATAGCGCGAGGCCCATGACGCACCAAGCACCCCCACGTCGTCGGCGGAACATGGTGCGAGAAGGACCGAGGTCGCACAACTCAACCAAAATTGGTTCTGTGCGACCACAACCTCGAACCCGTTGTTCAAGAGCTCCATGGGTGTGCTTCACGTTTCTTAAGCGGAGATTATCTCATTGTCACAAGCTTAGGAACCCATAGCTGCCACAGCACAGGACAAAACCAAAACCGCCCTGCGCATCGACGACCAACCTTCGCGTGGACAGGGGGAAGCTTTTAAAAATCGCACAGGTGACCAGAACATGCCTTGTACCGCGACGCGAAAAGGGACAAGCTCAACGCGGCTGAGACGAGCCCGGGAAGCCGTCGTTTGGGTAAGACCCGTCAGTAGGAACCGGTGTGAAACGCATGAATATACTCGGAGTTAAATGGCACAGGCCACAAGGAGGGGGGGGCACGGATAGCGAGGAGATCGGGGAACGCATTGCAAGGAGAGGGGAAGATAGACGGCAAGCAAAGGAGGAACAGACAGCGAGGATAGGGGGAACGGACGGCGGGGTTAGGGGGAACGGACAGGGGTGAGGAGGAGCGGATAGCGTGGAGAGGGAGAACGGACGGTGAGGATAGGGGGAACGGACAAGGGTGAGGGGGTGTAACGCATACTAAATCTACCTAGAGCAATCGGCGCGACCTAGCTGGGGCACCATAGCGTGACCTGCGCTAGGTCGCAAGCATGAGAAAGTTGTGCTAGGGAAGGATGGGTTGGGTGTACAAATGTGGTTAACCACCCAACCCAAGGCAAATGTGGTTTGGAAATTCCAGCCCTTTGTGTTGAGGTTTGGGAATTTCCCAAGCCTACACATTGCCAACCAATGGTTGGATTTGCAACCAACCACGCACTGACAGTTGGTGTTACAACCAACTCAATCCAACATTTTCTTCCACACACTTGCTCTCAAAGGGGTAGCAATCCAACCTAAAATGCCACCTAAGCAACTCAACTCTAGGAGCTCCTCCACCTTGTTGCCATCGAGGAGTTGGAGCTCCCCAAGGGGTCTAGGGAGGGGTTGAGCTTTCCAAAGCTCATTCTCGATTTACCAACTCCAACAATCTAATTTGGAAATGGGATTTTTTCTAAGCCTTTGAGCTCTCCTCACAGCTTCCCCTGCACAACTCTCTCAAGGACTTCTTCATTCAAGCCTCTCCTTTGAAGACTTCACCAACAACCTCAAGGCTAGTCTAGGGATAAGATAGGGTGATTATTAGCTTGGAGATCTTGAAGATTCCCCATCAAAATCTTCAAGTAACTTTACCAACTTTTGAAGACTCTTCATCAAGATCTTGAAGTCTCTCCATCAAGACCTTCAAGCTTCTTCACCAACATTGAAGGATCTCCTTCCACATTGAAGACATTTCGAAGAGAGATTTATCTCTCTCGCCCACTTTTTGGTGGAAGACTCTTTTTACCTTTGGGTAGAGAGTGGCTTCTCAGATCTAAGGATTTGTTGAGGATCTACTCTTCATTGAGTAGATCTTGCTCTATCATTGAGGTGATAGGGAGATTTTGCAACGAATCCATTCTCTGGAAATTTTGTCTTGGATCATTCTGTAAAGAGTACTCAAAATTTCTTAAAGAGAATTATCAGATCTGTTGAGTAATGTTGTTTTCTTAACCCATTTCATGGCTTCCAACCAAGAGATGGATGTCTCTTAGGGAAACATGCCTGTTTCAAGCAATGAGGGGGACAATGCTGCTGCTGAAATCGATCTCAACCAGGAGGATCTCATGGTTGACATGGAGGTTAATGGAAGTGAAGCAGATGTTGGTGCTGGTGCTGAAAATGCTGAAGATGCTGAGGAAGAAGACGAAGGTGATGTTGATGAAGGTGTCTTCAATGAGAGTCTTGCTGCCAAGTTCCAGACTCAACTCACTGAGCAGAACATCACCATTGTGGCGCAGCAGTGTCGCATCCAAGGCCTAGAGACCGATATTTTACAGATGAAGACTCTTATCCATGAGCTTCAGGCTGAGTTGTTGTTGGCTACAAATGATAAGCTCACCAGCACCTCCCGCTTTATCCTAGACCTGCAGGACACCACCAAGGTCGTGCATGCCTAGCTCAACCAGCAGCAGATCCAACGTACTCAGTTGCAGTCTCAGTACAGGGAGCTTTGGCGTGCCAACATCTACCATCCTGCTGCTGCACCTACTTGCGCTACTGCATCTACTAGCAACCCAGCTCCATCTTCTGCTGCTGCTACTCCTGCTGCAGAGCGCACCCAGCACCCTCCTCCTGCAGCTGCTAGTGCTTTTGGCTCCCTGCCTACGGTCTTGCCTCGCTTTATCCATGGCAAGACCGACGTTGAGACATGGCTTTCCATTGCGGCGGATTTTATGTTCCTCCACAATGTGGGTAGCGCGGCTCGCGTGCTGGCTGCGACTCTTGCCAGATTCAAGAAGGACGTGAAACGAACCAACACCGGGTTCCAAGACATTCTTCCCGACGACCTCCCGGACGAGCTACCGTCATACCGAATGCACCAACACGAGATCGTGGCGGAACCAGGTTCGAAACCGACCTTTCGAGCACCATATCGGCTAAGCCCCACAGAACTAGCCGACATGAAGAAACAGATCGAGTATCTCCTCGCCAAAGGACTCATCCGACCATCCACTTCGCCATACAGTACCCCATTACTCTTCACACCGAAACCAGACAGAAGCCTGCGCATGTGCATCGACTATCAGGCTCTCAACAAGCAGACCATCAAGAACAAGTACCCGATTCCACGAATCGATGATCTACTTGACCAGCTTCGGGGAGCCACGGTATTTTCAAAACTAGATCTGCGGTCCGGATACTGGCAGATAAGAATGGCGGATGATTCCGTTCACAAAACTGCCTTCCAAACTCGGTACGGATCGTACGAGTATCTGGTAATGCCGTTCGGACTCACTAATGCACCTGCAACGTTCCAAGCAGAGATGAATCATATCCTACGCCCACTCTTGGACGAATGCGTGGTGGTGTACCTGGACGACATCCTCGTCTACTCGCGCGACATGCACCAACACGTCGAGCACCTACGACGCGTCTTCGAAATTCTTTGACGAGAACGATTCTACGTCAAACTATCCAAGAGCGACTTTGCCCTCAAGAAACTCCAATTCCTCGGACATATCGTAAGCGCTCAAGGAGTTCACGTCGACCCCAAGAAAATCAAAGCCATACGTCCGTGGAAGACACCCGAGAATGTGAAGGAGTTACAGCAGTTTCTTGGCTTTGCTAACTACTACAACAGGTTCATGCCGCAATACGCGAAGATCGCCGCGCCACTCACGAATCTGCTAAAGAAGAATACGCCATATACACTGAGGGAAAAAACCGTCCGGATGTTTGGCACGAAGTTGGGTTTTTAGGCTTTAAGACTACTGTATGGTAAATTTGCAAGATGCATGGTGGTACGCGTTGGGAGAGGCACAAAGTGGATGCGTTCACAGCACTAAGAACTAGAATAGTACATTGGATCCAACTCATATTCCAAAAGATATACAACGAGTACATCCGGACAGTTTTTTCCCAGGACAAAGAGCAAACTTCCGAACAACGTTTCTAGTACCTAGTCCACCTACTCTTGGCGTTGATCACCATCCGCACCCTCCTAGGCATGTTATCTATGGGGTTAGTGCAGACCTTTGCATGAAGCTTCTCGCACTCTTCCTGGACCCACCATTTTGCATAAGGGGGTGAGCACAAGGAAAATTGCAAAGTATTTGAGCGTATGCATAAGTATTGTACACAAATTCTGAATGAATGTTATCTCAGAGACTAGCCAAGCCGAGGGGTGGCCAAAGATGCCATTAGTTAAATGGTCCCGGCTTATCATGGGTCGTCTTCGTTGTATCGTTCTAGGGTAAAATCACGAATAGAGTGGCAAAATCTAGCATTCCCGCCACGAATCTTAGGGTAACAGAGCACGGTCGACTGAACATCCTTTCACTGTGTGAACCATGTTAAAATCCGCGGGTCTAGTGACGGGGCAGCAGTCGAAGAAACCTCGACTGTTTGGGAAGAATATCTGGATTGAGGTCTGGTGAGAAAAAGGGTCACTCCAGCGCAACATACTTATGCTCTCCAAGGCATTCCATGTCATTTTCCCTGCCTAGGCTTGGAATGGCTCGGGGAGCATGGATATGTAGCTCTGGAGTGCCCCTCTTCCTCACCAGACCTCAACCCTGATATTCTTCCCAAACAGTCGAGACTTCTTCAACTGATGCACTGTCACTAGACTCGCGGATTTTAACATGATTCTAACAATGAAAGGATGCTCAATCGACCGTGCTCTGTTACCCTAAGTTTCGTGGCGGGTATGCTAGATTTTGCCACTCTATTCGTGATTTCACCCTACTCTGATTCGACGAAAACAACTCATGATAAGCCGGGACCATTCAAGTAATGGCATCTTTGGACACCCCTCGGCTTGGCTAGTCTCAGAGATTACATTCAATCTGAATTCGTGCACAATACTTATGCATACGCTCAAATACTTCGCAATTTTCCTTGTGCTCACCCCCTTATGCAAAATGGTGGGTCAAGGAAGAGTGCAAGAAGCTTCATGCAAAGGTCTGCACTAACCACATAGATAACATGCCTAGGAGGGTGTGGATGGTGATCAACGCCAAGAGTAGGTGGACTAGGTACTAGAAACGTTGTTCGGAAGTTTGCTCTTTGTCCTGGGAAAAAACTGTCCGGATGTACTCGTTGTATATCTTTTGGAGTATGAGTTAGATCCAATGTACTATTCTAGTTCTTAGTGCAGTGAACGCATCCACTTTGTGCCTCTCCCAACATGTACCACCGTGCATCTTGCAGGTTTACCATACAGTAGTCTCAAAGCCTAAAAACCCAACTTATTGCCAAACATCCGGACGGTTTTTTCCCTCAGTGTAAATGGGAGCCACAACACCAAGAAGCCGTGGAGCAGTTGAAACAAGCACTCACGTCCGCACCCATACTCATCTTGCCAGACCCCGAACACGACTACGTCATCGAAGCTGACGCCAGCGACCAGGCAGTGGGAGCAGTCTTGATGCAAGACCAGGGGAATGGCCTGCAACCAATTGCCTACCTCTGCAAAAAATTACACAGGGTAGAACTCAACTACCCGATACACGACAAGGAGGCCCTTGCTATCATCATCGCCTTCAAAACGTGGAGATGTTATCTCGAAAGACGCAAGACGACAGTCTACACCGACCATTGCAGCCTAAATTATTTGAAGACGCAACCAAGCCTCTCCAGTTGGCAGGTCCGGTGGATTGACTTCCTCGAGACACACTTCCACTACGACATCATGTACAAGCCCGGCCACAAAAACAAAGCAGACTCTCTCAGCCGGCCTGCGCACATTGCCGCAATCCAAGTCGAAGGGATGAACCCACCCCTCAAGGGACTCTTCACACACAGGTACACCATCGGCCCCGAAATTCCCTTGGCAGAAAAGCGACATCTGCTACAGTGGGACAACGACATCGCGTACCGGAAAGGATCAACAAAGATCTGGGTACCTAATTACCCTCCTTTACGCCAGTTACTACTTGAAGAATATCACGACATCATGAACGCAGTACACTTCGGTAGCAACAAGACGCTCACTGGTATCGCCAAACACTACTAGTGGCCCCACATGGCAGATGACGTACAGAAATTTGTCACCTCGTGCACTACATGTCAGCGGATGAAGAGCAGCAAGCAGAAAAGGTGGGTCCGCTACAGCCTCTTCCTGTCCCAGAACTGCCATGGTAAGTGGTAAGCCTAGACTTCATCACCGGGCTACCAAATACCACAAGCGGTGATGACGCGATCCTCGTCGTCATTGAAAAGTTCTCCAAAATGGTACACTTCATCCCAACACACACCACAGCATGCACCGAGGAGACGGCACAAATCTTTGTTCGCTACATCGTCTCACAACATGGCATTCCGACCACACTCATCTCCAATAAAGACCCTAAGTTCACCAGTAAATTCTGGAAAGAACTGATGTTTCTACTCAGGACCAAACTCGCCATGTCATCCACCTACCATCCGCAGACAGATGGATAGACCGAGCGCCTCAATCAAATTGTGGAGAAACTCCTCCACGCAGCTTGCAAGGACGACATCTCCAAATGGGACTTGCATCTGCCCGTCCTGGAGTTTGCCTACAACAACGCTACTCACGCCGCTACTGGACAAACGCCATTCTTCCTCTGTTACGGACGCCACCCACTCCCACCTCAACAGCCAAACATACCAGCCACAGTCCAACCCGCTCATGATTTCATTACGACTATGCACAAACTATGGGATCGGACCCACAAGCGCCTTCTCGACATTCAACAACAACAGAAGCGCCAGGCCGATCGCCACCGCACAGACCACACCATCACCGTGGGAGACCGAGTACTGCACGACATGCGCAATCTTGACATCGGCCATCTCCCATCCAAACTTCGACCTCGCTTCTGCGGGCCTTTTCTCGTTGAAGCACAGGTCATTCCTAATACCTTCCGCTTACGCCTGCCAGCTACCTGGAAGATTCACAATGCCTTCCATGTCCAACTTTTGAAGCCCTACCGAGATCCCAACACGACCTTCTCAGGACGCCAACCGCTGCCGCCGCCATCCGTCCTCGTCCATGATGAACCCGAGTACGAGGTCGAGTCCGTACCTGCTCACCGCCATCGATGGAATGGCGTCGTAGAGCTTCTCATCCATTGAAAGGGTTATGATCCTTCAGAGGATAGCTGGGTCTTTGAATCCGAGATGGATCACGCTCGTCGTCCTCTCCGCGACTACCTTGTCAAGCAGGGTGTTACGTGTACCACCCAGCTTTGAGGGGGGGAAGTGTGAGAGTACGACCCCGTTCCATTCCTTTCTCCTTTCCATCTTCCCTTTCCATTTCATTCCTCTTTTTGTCTTGATTCATTTGGTCTTTATCTCATTCCAATTGGATTCTTATTCCTCCTTTTCCATCATCCTTTGGTTTATCATGTTATTATCGTTATATCACCGACCAGGCTCATGATGTACTGGCACGCTCTATCCAGCGTAATCCAGCCGTAATCCCTTAATGCCAATAGCCTCGCGTGGCTATACGCAGGGTGATTGTATTTTCTAGAAGGGTCTATTCCATTGGGATAGGATAGACCTGGTTACCTGATGTACCCCGGAAGTATAAAAGCACCTTGTATCAATCGATAGTGCAACCTTTCCTCGACACATTCGATCCTGTGACAGCCTCAGTCCAGCTGAGTACGAGGAGGCTAAGCAACTGATCAAGGAATACCTTAAAAAGGGATGGATTGAACCTAGTGCATCCCCTTATGGAGCACCAATCTTGTTTGTTAACAAAAATGGCGGAGGATTACGCATGTGCGTAGATTATCGTGCCTTAAATAAGATTACTGTCAAGAACAGATATCCTCTCCCAAGGATAGAGGATCTGTTCGACCGACTCTAAGGAGCTCAGTGGTTTAGTGCATTGGACCTGGCTCAAGGGTATCACCAGCTGTGCATTACCGAGGAAGATGTTCCTAAAACGGCTTTTCAAACGCCGTTTGGTCACTTCCAATGGCGTGCGTAAGTTTTGGCTTGATGAATGCCCCCGCATGATTCAAGAGAGCAATGAACGATGTGTTTCGGGAGGCAATCGGCCAATTCGTCTTGGTATACTTGGATGATATCCTTGTTTACTGTAAGACAGAGAAAGAACATACGCAACACCTTAAATGGGTGTTACGAAAACTGCGAGAGCATACTGTAAGTTCTATGCCCGATTGTGGAAGTGTCACTTCGACAAGCGCGAGCTAGAATATCTTGGTCACATTGTAAGCAACGATGACCTAAAGGATGATCCAAAGAAAGTGTCGGCAGTCCAGCAATGGCCAGTTCCACAAAATGTGGGCCAGGTCAGATTGTTTCTGGGACTCGCAAATTACTTTCGCCGATTCTTGGATAATTATTCCTCTGTCGTCGCTCCACTTACGGCACTCACTCGCAAGAGCAATGCATGGCAGTGGACAGACCAATGCCAAAAGGCATTTGATGAGGTTAAAACCATGTTGACTTATGCTCCGGTGCTGGCTTTG